CCCCCCCCCCTCCCCCGAGGAAGAGGCTTTGAAGTTAGGGATCCATCAGATTCGGCTTCAGTTTGGTATGTCCACAACCAACACCACAACCCCCCCCTGTGAACTCCCGCTGCATCATTCTATTATTCTCGTCCAGGTCTTGCATAATAATTTTTCCTCAGCATTTTTTCTTTCCTGTGTCCACAGTTTTAGAGCTGCATTTTAAGCACGCATAATGGGTTGATAATGCGGCACATTTGCGTGAACGACGGTTACATGTAAGTACAACATGTTACACACATGTTTCATCCTGAATTCAGCTACAGGTGGCAAATGGCCCTGAGCCAGGTACCACCCGCCTCCCCTCCCTCTGCATCACAGGTGGAAAGACAGGTGACCTTGCAGTCTGTGGAGTCTGCGGTGCAAAGACTTCAGAGAGCAGTAACCTGTAGCGTCGGCTGATAAAGGGGAGGGAGGCGGACAAAAATGGAGAAAGGAGGGCGGACGGGAAGAGACAGCTGCTGCTCTGTAGATTAGAACTGAAAGCGGCACTTTCTCCCTTTTTCTCCGAGCTCGGCTTTGAACAGTGTTTTCCCCCTGCTCGAGCCGATGATTGGCCAAAAATCTGATTCTACTGTACGCTGGGCCAATTTGAACCCGTCTCAGTATAGGACTTAACTCTGACAGATTTAATCCAAAGCTCAGCTTTAAATATATATGTAGGCATTTTCCCCCAAAAACTTCTCTTATTTGTGCTATATATATATTATATTAACCCAGTAGAGCCCGACTGGATTTTTTTGGTCATTACTGCTGTTATCATCAAAGCGATTTAAAAAAAAAAAACAAAAAAACAAGCAAAAATTGAAATTGCCATTCAACCTCCACGTTTTTTTCTATATATAACTCCATGCCGTCCTTGGCTCCAGGTCCCATAAAACTTGTAGTTGGGGTGCAGTGCAGAAGAGGTAAAACCAACCTTTTAATTTGTTCCATCTTATGGTTAGAGTTTTAAAAAGCTCCCATGTAATCAGAGCATGACGCTGGCTCAAGGCAGCAAATGATGCGATTTAAATACGGCTATAACTAATCCAAGGATGATCAAAACAAGGGAGAAATGGGGATTTGTGTGTAGCTGGCCCATAAAACAATGCATAGAGAGCTTGAGTGCAGGTGCTAACAGTGGGAGGTGAGTTTACAGGCACAGAGTGAACCCTCCTGCAGAGACTTTGGTGTGCGTGTTACGAGAGACACACAAAGGAAATGAGGAAAAGTGGTAAAGTGATTGTAAAGAGAAAGCTACTCACTCCATCATTGATGCTGGTATGGCGCAGCAGTCCTGTATGGCAGTAAGCGGAGAGGTGAGGTGGGCGGTGTACGAGGCTTCCACCACCTGCTTGTTCCTGTTCACCACATCCAGGTATCTGTTAAACTTCTCCCGAATCTTCTTGGCCAGCTGCACAAAGGAAAAATGAAAACTGTGTCAATAAGACAAAAACTAATGGTGACACATAAATAACCCCCGCCCCATTCCCACATGCCTAATCCAACAGACAACTTTGCATTTAAAACTATCAGCTACTTGGTCTGCGTGATTCCAAGTGGCAGTGCAAGGAGAGGCGAATTCATATTAACAGCACGTTTGTGTGGCTCAAGTTTCCCACTTAGATCTAAATCAGGGGCCAAATATGGCGCCAAAGAGGGGAATGTAGTTCAGGAGTATGGTGGGATCCCATTTGCTAAAAATTCAGTCACACATTTCCTCCCCCTGGGATTACAACCCACAGATGTGAGACAATGACATAAGTTTTGATAGCACTCTTTTTGCTGATAGTTGAAAGAATTCCTTATTTAAAAAGAGCTGCTCCACAAGGTAGAACCACGTGTTTGATTAGGGAGACTTTTTACACCAGGCGCCCTTCCTGATCCCCAAAGGGGATCTTTGGCTTGTGTAAACCACTACATTTTTGTTGATAGTACGAAACATGATTAATGGTGCTAGTCCTCGGATCGCATACATTTGTTTCTTATAATCACTTCACTTTGCAACAACAGAGTGAAAATTGATTAGTCAGAAAAGCAATTCATCAGCCTGATAACAACAATTCACCATTGCAGCAAATGTGTGGTTTCATACTGCAATGCAAAAGTGTACTTCAAACAGTTTGTACACCTGTGAACGTTTACCTGAAATTGTTCACATTCTCAAGTGAAACAGTCAAACAGAACTTTGCAGTCAATAACACAGATTGCGGAGCTTTTACAAAGACACAAATACAAGCATACACGCAATGCCTTTTAATATTTTAAATAGTTTATCCGTGTTTAACAGTTTGTGGGAGGTCCAAACAGTTTGTGTGTTTACTTCCATGACTGATTGTCTATTTCCTTTTCCCCCTGCAGTGGCATATGCAAGTAAATGCTGCTAATCAAAAGGAGCCATGAGTTTTTGTGGCTTCTTTCTCACTGAATCTTGTTATCTTTTCTCTCTCTTTGTCTTTTTGCTGCTTTGTCCTTAAAGAAGTTTGTTTGACAATCACCTCAGCTTTCCTCTCAGCCTTCTTTTAATATAAATGGATAACGTCTATGTTTGGCGTTCCTACAATTTATATATATAAAAATAAAAGAAACATCAGAAAAAGGACTGTTCTAAGGCACAAGAAAAGTACTACAAACAATGTCACCCATGTCCTCAGCTTGACACAGCTCATTTGCTTCATTCAGCCCTATTTGTACGAAACTCCAAATATGTCGGTTGGGGGTGTGGCTGTACGCTGTTGTATAAACGTGTAAACAGGGAATGACACCTCCAAGAATCCTGACATAAAGTGAGCCCCTAAATACACATGCGCGCAGACGTACACAACTTAATATTCATAAAAGGAAGCTGAGTGATATCAAAGCAGCACAGATCTGGAGCTGCTTAAACCATAGCAGAATGATGGGGATTTAAGAACTCAAACGCACTCCACTTCCACTAATCACATCTTGCATAATTTAAGAAAATCCACCTAAAAATACAACAGGTGTGCAACTAGAGTGAAACGTAGGAGCTTGTGGCAGCTGCATGCAAGTATTTGTGGTAAAGAACAACTGCAACATGCATGCATTTTATTGCAACACATTTTACGTAGCACGTTCTTTTTCTCTCTCTCATCTCCTTATGCTGACAACTTTGCACAATCAAAATCAAATGTTTTACCATATTAAATGTTTTTGAAATATTCATATAAAGATCCCCACAAATTTCCAGTCAGTTGGAATTCTGTTTTAGGGTATAATTTACTTTTAAACCAATGCACAGAAACTGAGAAGCAGAGGAGAAACATGGGGTTTCCAGACAAAGGCAGCAACAACAGCTAATTCAGCTGTGTTTACTGGAGCCCTTCATGCTGCCCCCCTGAACAAGCTTACATTATACTTTTTCTTTGAAGGACTAGGCTCTGGTTGAGCACACAAATCACAGTGCTCTTTCAAAACAGGGATCCAGCTCTTTGGGGAAACTAATAACCAGCTCTGTAGCAGCCTCCTGGGGGACATTAATAACCAGCACACCAGCAGCTCTTCACCAGTCACTCCTATTCTTGCTTTTGTTTGCCCAAAAAAAAAAAAAAAACTTGAAAAGATGGGGAATTGTTTGGAACTTCCATCTAACTAATGTGAGGCAAGACATGTATGTAATCTGTTATAAATTGCCCTGTTAACAAGCCTTTTTCTTTTGCTCACTCCCCCTTCAGATCGTCCATAAACCTTTTTCCCTATTCTGATTGGCTGAATTTGAATGATTGTACATTTATAAACAGTAACTGCGGCTTTTAGTCCCAGGCCAAGGTGAACTGATAGTCTTATGATGCTGGTGGTCATAATTTGGCATAGGATAATTTGGAATCATGTTATTACAGAGAAACTATTGTGCTCTTAAACCTGGATGTTAAACCTGGTGAAACGTTCCAAAAAAATAATGTCAGAGTATGTGCAAGCAATTTCTGTGAGCCAAAAGCTCAGGTTTAAGACCAATCTAATTCCTCATTTTCAGTTTCTTGGCTCCATATGATGCTGAAGGAAGGGGATATCCTGAATGTGTCATCTAAGACACAGAGCCTTGGCTAAGAGAGCACAAACCTGACATTCAAACCTTTCATTAATCAGGAGCAGCCAATCAGAAGAAAGCTGTCTTGTGGCTCAGTCACAGTAAAGTAAAAGTAGGATGGCAATCCCCTTGTGACTAGGAGAGAAAAATTAAATTTGGTGACCAATTGCAAATAACTGTAACAACCAACTAGTCACCCAAAGGTTTACCAGGCAACAACCTCAACCTCTCAGTGAGCACTTTTGTTCACAAACAGTTTGGCTGGCGGTTGGCAACCCGTCTCCAAACATTTGTGTTTGGTTAAGGTTTACAAATAATTGCCGTCTACTCAAATTTACAAGAAGAGAGAGATTTCCAACACTCTGCAGTCGGTCTGCACCAATTCAATTGCAACACTTCTCTCCACAATAGGTGACTCAACTCAATGGGTCCTCAACTCCTTGTGGTTATATTTTTCTATACTATTGTTTTATATATGTTGCAGTAAGGTTGTTAAGCACTCATATTGCAGTCACTGTCTTGTAGCAACTATGTCAGTATTTGGCAACAGATTTACGCTTTTCCCTATTTGTCACAGTAAACCACCCTATTATCACAAAGCACTTCACCCCATTAAGTTGCAAACGTATAGCAGACTGACTTCCAAAGTCACTTCTGAGAGCAGTTGCAGGGCTGGTCAGAGTCTTCACATGCAACAAGTTGATTGTATACGCCATAATATTTCTGATTGTACCGAAGTCTCCAACCACTGTTTGCTCCAAGTGTTACGGAAGCATTAAAGGACGGCAGAGAGGGATCTACTTAATCGACTTCTTTCATCAATGGCTTGCTGCACAAAGGCCGAGCATGGGATAAATAAGGATCATTTTTAACAGTTTTGGAGAATGCCATGCAAAGTTATAAATAAAAATAATTTTACAATTACTTTCAAATCTTTTGGCTTGTCAAAAGATTTCCTTCAAAATTTGAGCTTTTTAAATCTTAAAAGCTTAACATTTTAAATTATGGTGATAAACTGGTGCAAAATTGATGTCAAAAAGAAAAAAGTCTAACTGTCCAAAACCTTATAGATCGAACTAATCCACAAGTGGCATCTAATTATTTTAGAGAAAATAAAGATAAAATAATGAAAGTAACAAAATCTTCAGATAATGTATAGTTTTATATTATATGTAAATTTTAAGAATGAAAAACAAATCAGTAAATACTTTCCAAAGTCACTTTGAGTCACCTCAGCCTTGTTGAAAACAGAAAAAGGCTTATTCCCCACAGTACGTGGATCCCTTTGTTCCCGTAATTACAGCTGCCTGAAAAATGGCTGAGATTGAATCCAGGAAAAGGGAAATACACCACGACCCACTGACCGCTTGTATGCCTAATCAGCTGGCCGCTATTCCAAGGGTTTTAGGAGGGGCCTGAGGCACAGCCCGCAATTATTGACCTTCCACCGCAAGGAACACGAACAGCAACGTGACCACTCATACAGGGGCAAGAATTTAAATGCACACATGGACACACTCACAGTTGGATCCATGCATGAAAATCAGTTGAAGTGAACTTTGCAAGAAAAGGAAAAATAGGCCGGTGCTCTGCTAAGAAGTGTTTCCATAGCTGGAGGAGGGAGAGTAGCACAGAAACCAAAGCTCGAGTTTTAACAGAGCGACTTAAAAGAAACCAGAACCTTCTAGCTGTGCAAGTTCAAGCTCATGTTACAGTCTGCCCGGTGCAGCCAAAACCAACCTGTGCTCTGCAGATTAACCACTCTCCCCAAAACATACAACTCTTCTCTCCCATCTCTGACCCATCCAACCAGCATATGGAGGGTTTGCAGCACCCAGTGGGGCTGGTTGCGCCACAAAAGCAGACTGAGTGGAACGGATGTTCGTTGAAGTCTCGTGTTGGACCTAATGAGGTTTGCCAGTCAGCCTTCAACCACAGTCGCTGGCAGCGGCATTTGTGGCAAACCAAAACTTACTTCGGAATGTTGGGGTAAAGGACTTGGTAAAAGCGGGATGCAGGTCTATTCTGCAAACCTCAGCCATTATATAGAAAGTTAACAGTGCATGCGTCGGCTCTGCTTGGATAAACGAACCTCTCATAAAGGACTTGTTGCTTATAATGAGGGTGAGAAGTTTTCCAAGGCTATTAGAGTGCTGACTCGTTCCTTCTGGACATAATGATGTAGGTATTCAGCATGACTGGAGAAAGTACATTTTAATGTGTGGTTAACAGGTCGATTGTAAAAACGTTAAAGTCGCAGCAGGTTTCAGAGATGAAGTACAAAACATTTGACGGCTCAAATCTGTTAACGTGGCGGCGTGGGTGTGGTTCAGTTTTATGCTAATGTTCCGCTCAGCTTCACTCAT